GTGTTGTTATTTATTATAAGTGTTGTTATTTATTATAAGTGTTGTTAGAGTAGAAACACTTTGGACTGCAGCCGCCTGTAGTGCACATGTGCCACTTCACACTTGGAGAATTTCACACCTTCGGGGGGCGGGGGTTCCCCTGAAAACCTCTGCTCTGAGACCTGGACTCAGGAACCTTCAGTTTCAGAGAGGACGAGGTTGTTGTCTGTAAATGAACGAACGTTTCACGTCGTGTAAACGGGGCGTCAGACTGGCTGCCCTGCCTGTCAATCAACTGACAAATTTCATAGATGGACGATCGACTGACATCTAGTTTAATACGTGTGAGATCGACCGGTAGATCGAGCTCGACGTACTGGGCACCCCTGCTTTACAGGATGTTAATATAATATTAAGCACTGGGAACAATTTGTTTTAGAAGTCTTTAAGATGAATTTCTCACTGGAATAAACAAGAGTTCCCAGTTAAATTGACAAACTATTGTTTGTGTTCATGTGATGCAGTACAGGCGAGCACCTGCGGGGGACGTCCTCGTCGGCGTACTTGACGGACACGGAGTACAGTCCCTCAACAGACGGAGTGTAGCACGCCGTGTGAGTCCCGTCTCCGTTGTCCGTCACCTCCACCGGCGTCGCGACTCCTTTGGGAGCCGCGACAGCCACGGCCAGCGGGGCCTCGCCAGCCTTCCTGCAGTCCACAGTGAAGGATTGTGGGATATTTGCTCTGACCCCGGAGCCCACGCCAGGGCCCGACACTTTCACCTTACTGGAGTCCACCACGTCCTTCACCGGCACCTTAAAGGGACTTCCTGTGACAAAAACAAACAAAAAACACTTAAAAATGCTCATACGAGAAACAAACGCGAGGAGGTTTCATGTTTGTTCCTTCTAAAAATATTTATCAATAACAAAAAAAAAGAAATGTGCAGTGAAGCACATTTAGTTCATTAAAAGTAATCGGGTATATTTTTCCTTTGTGCAACAAAAGCCTCGGCCACAAATTCACCTTTTAAATCTGCTCATTCGTTACAGATGTCAGAAGTTTAAAAACTGCTGAACTCGGCGTCATTTCTCTGTGCGAGGAACGTTTTCGCCCTTCCAGCGTCTTCTGAAGCGTTGAACACAAAAACACGCCGAGCCTCGTTTTCCTTTGAGACGGTGAATAAAACCGAGCTGCGGCTTTTTAACGCGAGCCAGAAACTTCAGCCACATCTTTAAAACTTCAAACCTAAATCGCTCGACACGTCTTTTATTAGACGAAAACAACGCCGGGACATCAGCGCCCGCTTGTTGGCGGAAACAAGCAGATGTGAACCATCTCAGCTGATCTTTGGGTTGAAAAGAACAAGTTCAACAACCGTTTTAGCAACGATGTAGATTTTAAAACCCAACACTTCCTGATTGGGGTCAGCGAGAGCGTTTAAAGCCAAACTAATAAAAACAAACCTGTTCTGGTTCAGCTCTAAACAGGACGCAGGTGGAAGAGCCTGATCTCACCTGGGATGTGCGCTCCTCCGTAGGTGATGTTGACGTCGTACAGGCCCGGCGTGAAGGGAACGTACTCGACGCTGCAGCTGCCATCTTTGTTGTCTTTGCAGAACATTTTAGATTCGGACGGACCCTCTACGGTGATGCCGAGGCCGCCGATTCCTGCCCCTCTGTTGAAAAGACACGAACACAAAATCAACAGCGGTTTGGTCTAAAATTACTCAAAGTGAGAGGCTTGTTTCTAATTTTCAGTCTTGAGGTTTAATTTCAAGCCGGTGATGTCTCTGGTAATGGCTCCTGTCCCTATAAAGTAAAATAACTTCCAATTCATTATGTATAAAATCTAAACAGGTTAGAATAACGGCGTTTACAGAAAAACAACTTAAAAGTGTCATTAAAGACCAATAACTGTAACCGTAGACGTGTTTGTACCAGAGTCAGTACTGACGTCAGGGTCTGGTTAGATAAAATATATCAGCTTCCTCATTTAGATAAGAACATGCGTTTTTATTTTTTAACTTGTTACAGCCTCCAAGACAAACAATGTCCCCCGTCATCGAGAGATTTGAATGGTAAATGTATGTATATTTCTAGATACTGTATTTTTCGCTGTATAAGTTGCATTTTTTTGTATAATTTGCATGCCCTGCGACTTATACGATGCATTTATGGATTTTTCCATATTTATAAACCAATTTATGACCGTTTTCATTCATTCTGACTGAAAATATTGAACACTAACATTTTCAGTCGCTAGACGGCACTCGAACAGTACGGCATGCCGTTGTGTCATGTAATAGGTAAAAGTGGCTATTAATGACACAATCGGCTTGCCATAAACTGCCACCTTCGCCCTGCTCGCTTGGAGTAAAATCAAAAAATTCATTTCGCTGCACCGCCCCGACAAAATGCAGCTGATTTGACCATTGAAGTGCATTTATTAAGGAAAAGTTCAACTGAGACACAACTTTACTATAAATTTGTGCAAATAAATAATTGTTTTTAAGTGTTAATTGTGTTCAATTCTTGTAGAATCCTCCTATGCACGCTCACGCGACCGCCATTTGGCAGCCAATCGATTTTTGGCACTACGGTGACGCGCAATAGATGCAAAGTATTTATGGATTTTTCCACTTTATTAGACATATTTGGACTGACGCAACGTGTACGGCAGAAAATACGGTAAATGTTTTCAAGGACAGAGATTTCATGTAGCAACCCAGTTCTTGAAAGGAACACTTCTTGCACCTAGATCAGAGTCTGGTCAGGTCTGCAGCCTTTGTGGTCCAAAGATCCATTTCTGCCCCTTCGCTCGTGTCTGGAGCCACAAAACCTGCTACAACTGTGATTATCAACTGATGGCCCATGGGCCACTGAGTTTGTTGGAGGGGGGCTTTGAACTGAACTCTGCAGGCCTGTGTGAGGAATAATAAACGAGTATCGGGCGGGGCTGCGGTAGCGCTGTGGCCAGTGCTCCTCGGGTGAGAAACGAAACGTCTTCAGTTACGAATTAAGAGCAGTCGTTTTGTTTTTAATTTTCTTTGGATTTTACTTTTTTGGGATTTGTAATCCTGAGGTTGCGGGTTCGAGCCTCGGTGGCGTCAGGAAGGGAATCAAACGTAAAACAAATTGCCAAATCTTTCATTTGGGATTTCTCGCGGTGACCCCTGAAGACGGGAGCAGCTGAAAGAAACTTACCAATTACTACTTCAACAATTTCCTGCAGGATCAACGCAGTTTTATCTTGTCTCACTAGTAGTTATCGGGCAAACATTTGACAATTAAACTGCCAAAACTAGCCTTTTCTGTTGTGGATATAAAAATCTATAGAATTAAATTTCATTAAGTTTTGGTCAAAGCTTCAAAGAGCTGCCGTTGAGGGACTCAAGGGCCACATGTGGCCCCAGAGCCGCAGGTTGAGACCCATGACCCAGATCTAGCCTCGCACCAAAATGGAAGTCGGAGCCACATTTATTTCTCAAGTGATCACGTTGAACATGCACAGACGGACGAACAGAAATATTTCCATTTACACCTTTTCGCTCTGCGACGGGGGCCAAACACGAGTCGAGGGAGGTTCATCTAAAGCACTCAACATGGAAGCAAAGCAACGGCGGCTCATTACAAGACTCTTCAGCTCGCTCGCATTTAATTAGAAGTGTGGAAAAGTTCCACGTTGATCTGCCGCCGTCTGTGGAAGCAGCAAACGCACGAGAAGCCAGTTTGAACACCGTCTGAGGAATCTCGTGCACGCAGCTTCAAGATGCCACGTGTGTTCAATAAAACCCGTCTCACTTTGACACAACTCGCCTGCTTTCATGACGTATTGAGATATAAAACTGTGAGAAGACAAAGTTAAACATAGCCTCTGATTGTACCGATTCTCTTGCGTGCGTAGCCTGATCTCCAGCAAGTTACAGAAGACGTTATCGGTCACGTTAAAATATTACGCTCAACCTTAAACCTCACGTATACTGAACAACAATTATGTAGCAGCAGCCGTCAGTCTCACGGAACGCTCTCTCTGAACGGCGACAGTGTGGTGACGCAGTCGTGTTGCCCGTCTGTGTCACAGGAGTCGAGACGGGCGCCAGATGTTGAAAATACAACGGGTACGACAGGTTGGCACCATTCCTCGTCTTTTATCACCTACAAGAACTGAACCAGTGGAAACGAGACCGTTGTGCCACAACACTGAGGCGTACGCCATGTTTACGCCATAAAACGCAGATTTTATGTTGGAAAGAAAGAATTTAGTTGTCGTTTTTTATGAATGGATCTTTGAATAACTTTTTTTTTTGTTCCCATAAAATCAACCCAAAACGTTTGGGGATCAATTCAGTTTAATTAATTAACCCACTTCTGTAAACGCTGCTCTAAATACCTTGTTATGATGTTGAAGTGGTTTGGCTGCTCCGTCAGGGCTTTTTGGAGCCCGGGGCCAGTAGCCACCACCCTGCTGGGGTCACACCCCTCATCCACAGAAACCCTGAAGGGACTCTTGGGAACCGGAGTGTCGTCAAAAAGAACTTCAACGCTGTGGACGCCTGAAATATCCAAACACAGACGGGATGAAACAGACGTCACAGCCGGTTTAAAGAGTTCAGTCCTGGTTCCGGGTGTTACCGTTCTCATAGGGGGTGTACTCGACGCTGTAGGTCCCGTCTGCGTTGTCCACGACCTTGCAGTCAGTCAGGGCCCCGGATGGGTTCCTGATCTTTGCCTTCACGTGGTCTCCTCCTCTCCGGCTCAGAGCACGGGCGTCCACCGAGAAGTCCGTGGTGGCTTCTCTGAAAACGTCTGAAGAGAACAAGCACAAGTTGGACGATCTGTTCGATCAGCTTAGAGGGTCTATCCACACAGATGTGATGGGGGTGGACCGTCCCGCACCTTCTCCGTCCACGCCGGGTCCAAACACTTTGATTTTGGAGGTGTCGACGGCAGGATCCACCACCACCTTGGCGGGGAAACCGGGGACGGCTTTGCCTCCATACTTCAGCATCAGGGTGTACATGCCGGAGGTCAGGGGGACGTAGGTCACCGTGTAGGTCCCGTCTTTGTTGTCCACAACCTCCGTCTTTGCTTTCAGACCTGGAAAAATACGGTCCGATTGTTAAGGATTAAAAAAATAATAGATTTATGCTTGGAAAACAACAAACTGATGTAAAGGCTACAGTTCAGGACAGTTTTATTGGGATTTAAGGTGCTTTTTTGGTTAAAGACGTAAAAAGGTCGTAACAAAATGAAACGCCTCAACTGGTTCAGTCCATTTCCTGTTGTCAGAATCTTTTAGTTTTGGCTGAACCAGGTGAACCTGCCACACATTTTAATCCTCACTAACTTGTGATTCTTGACAGTGATCATCCAGAAAATCTTCTCAAAGAGTCAGAACAACTCAAACGTTCACTTAAAAACAAAACGTGGAGGATCAGTTCTCATCTAAAGCAGTTTCTCTGCGGCACCACTGCAGGACGGCTGAGTTACCTGAGCCCAGTCCAGAACCAGTAGGGCTGGTTGGGGAGGAGTCTGGTACCGCTTCCAGGCTGAGCTGACCTGGTCCAGCTTGAGAGCAGTCCACATTCAAAACACTGATTTCTCCAACCTGCAAAAACACCAACCATGAGACTAAACTACCGTTGACACAATTTCTACCAACGTTTGTGTTTCGGCTCTTCCTCTTCAGAAGACGTTTATTTACAGCATGTTTATTAATGTGGTGCTTTTTAACACCAGTTTCTCATATTTTAAATAAATCTTTTGATTTCTGTCAAGTATAAAACCTAAATGTATCTCTATGTTCAGATTTTATATAGTTTAAAATAAAAGAACCCTTTTTGAGTTGGCTAAGGCTGCTTAGCTGCGTCTACCATCTTGAACTGGGTCGGACCAGCTGTGGGTCCAGTTACTGTGAGAGTTTCATTAAAATATATTTGTTGGTTCATGAGATGTTTTTCTAACACTACAGACAAATGAGCACACACATGGCAGGTAGAAGACGAGGAATTAAAAAAACAACTTCTAAATTCATCTTCCGTGTCCGCGCTCACCTTTGCCCTCTTCAGGCCGGACCCTGACGCCACCACCTTGGAAGGGTCAAAGGGCATCTGGATGTCGGCTCTGAACGGCGAGCCGGGGATGTGGACGTTTTCGAAGAGGATGTTCACCAGGTAGTCTCCGGGCTCGGTGGGCAGGTAGGACACGGAGCAGGTCCCGTCTCCGTTATCCGAACACTCGATCTTGGCCTCCGTCGGCCCCTCCACCGTCAGACCCAGACCTCCGGTGCCGGCACCTTTGGTGTCGATGGTGAACTCTGCCGGGTTCCCAACCAAACCTCCCTTCAGTCCGGGCCCGGAAGCCTTCACCTGGAAGAGAAACCGCTCTTCATTTAAAACGATGTCGCTCCAAACGGGTTTAAAAAATAAAAAACGTGACGGTTTCTTTTTCTTCTCCACGTTGTGATCTCACCTTGCTGGGATCTGGAGGCAGGTGGGCCTCCACTGGGAAGGGGCTCCCGGGTACTGGGTGTCCATCGTAGGACACGTTCACAGAGTGCACCCCCTCCTCTGTCGGGGTGTAACGGACCACGCTGACGTCCGTTTTACCGGGCCGAGGCGCCACGTTACACGGCACCGCCCGCTGGCTGGGGCTCAGCTACCAAACAGACGTTTAGGAACAAAAGGTCAGATGATGCTGATCGACGTGAAAATGAAACAACGCCGCGCTCCGTTACTCACCACCTCCACCTCCAGGTGACCCTGACCTCCCGCACCTTTAGCGTTCACCTCAAACTGCTGCTCCTCGTCGACCTCCACCCCTGAAACACATTCACCCATGAGCCACTTCCTGGTTCAGTTTCTGAAAACTGCCTCTGGAATTTCGACTCTACCTCCAACTGATGTGAGAAACGCTGTTTAAAAGTCAGGATCGGATCATTTTTTGTTGAATTCACAGCTTTTGTTTTTATTTTCACACCAAATATAGAAAAACAAACTTGTTATCTGCAGATCATTAAAACGATCCAATCGATATTTAGTTAAATACGACCCGCTGCGTTACTGAACTTCGCTGCGGTTCAGCTGAGCTCTTACTTCCATCCAGATTATCCACGACGACTTTGCTGAGGTCCATCGGAGCAGCGACACCAACCGTGAAGGGACTCCTGGAAATCGGATCTCCTCCAAACTTCACCACGACGTCCATCTCCCCCTGGAAACAAACAAAACCGGCTCTGAGGAGAGAGTTTTTCATTTGGACTCGTATCGTAGTTTAACCTCAGGCAGGTGGGAACACCGAGACAAGTCAACAAAGCTTCAGGTGCTTGTTGTGTAGATCCATGTGTTGGCTTCAGAGTCGCGTTGCACTGATCATCGTTTAACGATCGAGGATCTTTAAAGGTCAGCTGTGGCTTTCAGAATAAGAACGACCATTGGCTGACCCACAGGGGTTCAACTAGGCCTGTCACGATAACAAATTTTGCTCGACGATTAATCGTCTCAGAAATTATTGCGATAAACGATAATATTGTTTGAAATTTGACAATAATTAATAATTATTGTCAAATTTAAAGAAGAAATGTTTGTTAATTTGTTTCGAGTGTAGTACCTTTTTTTGTGCTACACTCAAAACAAACTAACCAACATTTTCCCCCGAGGTCGGCCTGTTAGCTTAACTTCTCAGCTTAGCTGCTTTTAACGATCCAAAAACACGATTTTGGATCGTTAAAATTGATTTTACAGAAAAGAGAAAGGGAGGGGTCAGTGAAGATCACCAGAGTTGGGCCTTTTGTCATCCAGTGTCTTGAGGAGAGAGACACGAAGAAACGATAAAGCTGATAAATGAAAATGAGGTCGATCAATTTAATTTATCATGCGATTAATTGATTTATCGTTTATCGTGACAGGCGTAAGCTCAACTAGACTTAGTTTTGGCGTCGAGCCCAACTACACTCGCAGGCATCTTACCTGTTCAACTGCTTGTTAACCCAAATAACTAATCAGCTAATCATCCAGCAGAAAATGCATTTCGATGTGTTGAAGATCAGCTGAAGTTCAAACTGAGCATCAGAAAGGAGAGAAAAGGAACTTCAAGTGTCAGAGAAACATGGTTGTTGGTCCAAGTATTTCAGGAACTGTTGAGCTACTGAGGTTTTTTATGCACAAACATCTGTAGGTTCAGACTCATCAGGTCTCCATGTTCTTTTTGTCTGATTCAGGCGAGTCTGTGCAAAGTGCAGCCTCCATTTTCTGATCTTGGCTGACAGGAGCCACGCTCCGTGTGGTCGGCTGTAGCTCAGCTGCTTCGAGGATGTTCAGCGAAGACCTTCTGCAGACCTTTGGCTGCCTTTCTATCACCTCAAACCAGTCGACCTATTCCGCTCCGACCTCAACAAGGCACCGTCATCCTCACGACTGCAGCTCAATTCAGACCCTTCTCTGTAAACCCTACAAATAAATGTGTACCAACCTCAGATCAGCAGTTTCTGAAACGCTCAGACCAACAACCGTGCTGCGTCACTTCAGTTCTGATGCTCACTTTGAACTTCAGCAAGTCGTCTTCACCACGTCTGCACACTTGAATGCATCAAGACGCTGCCTTGTGATTGGCTGATAATCAATTTGTGTTAACAAGAATCTGAAGAGGTGTCTTTAATAAAATATTACTTCAAAGGGTTTAAAGTTTGTTTGGACGACTTTATGTGAAATAAAACATTCTGTTGGACAAAAATGTCTTCAGATTCAGTTGTAATGCAAAAAGTGTCCTTCAGACGTGGACAGGGGTCAGTGTGGTCCTCACACAGACCCGTGGACTCTGACGTGACTTCATCAAAACCAACAAGAACTTTTGGAGCTCTTCCATACGGACCGGCAGCTCGTTCACCGATGATGGTACCAGTTACCATTAATCAAGCATAGGTCCATCTTTGAACCAGTACCAAACCGACAGTATAGTTCAGGTGCTGTCAGTCTGTTTACCTGCTGTGCAGGTGTGTACTTCACGGTCTGAGAGTAGTCGTAGTTGTCGATGATGTCGAAGTCTTTGACGGGAGAGGAGAAGGAAACGTCCAACGGTGCTTTCCCAGCTCCTTTGGTCACCACGGTGAAATGGGTCGGCTTCCCGCTCTCCACACCTGGACAGGTAGACGGAGGGAGGGGGACAAACGTCCACCGGGGTCAGGGATCTTTGACTCAGGAGTGAAGGTCAGAAACAGAAACAGCCTTGAACCAAAACATCTTCTGTGCATCTTCCAACATGGATTCAAACCTCTGGTTCACACGAGACTCCTGCAAAGTTTGGACTAAAAACAAGATTAAAAAGTTTTGGACTTTGAACAACGATCAAGAATTCATGACGCGTAATTAAAGTCAGAAGACTTCAACATCTGATTTCAAGGTTGTTCATCCACAAACAAAGTCTTGTTTAGGGATGCACGATATTATCGGCTGATTAGAGTTAAAGTTAAATAGAGATCATTCCATCAAAACAACTCACGATACACAACATGCCGTTTGTGTACGACGACCCAGTGACGAGGAAGTCTGCAGCGGCAGCACAACACGACGTCATGCGCGCCCACCTGACCTGATCATGACGGAGGGGTAGAAGTCAAAATGTCGGCGGTGTGGAAGTTTTTTTTGTTGGTGAGGACGTCGGATTCTGAAGCTTCATGGACTACGTTGAGCCTCGCTACATCGTCCGCAGTCAGATACTTTTCTGACGTAACGTTACTCGAGTTACAAGCCGTCATTTCCGACGTCATTGAGAAGCTAACAGCCGATAGCACTTGGGTGAGTTTTACCACAGACATGTGGACGTCATGTTAGCCCCGTTAGCATGATTAGTCTTAAGGCACAACGGATAGACACAAACTTTGAACTTAACAAGTGTGTCCTTCATGCACAGGAGTGCAGAGGATCCCACACTGCAGCTATAGGAACCTGGAACAAACCTCCACAAGTGAAACAGCATCGCAGGTGACTAATGCTAATAAATAACATTTAACACTTATTATTTAATATAAGTTAAAGTGCAGATCATATGGCTGTTACTGATTATAAGCTCTTACAGCTGTTGCATAATTTTTGTAGCAAATAAGCCTAAAAAAGAGAGATATGTTCTGACAAATATATAAAATATCTGTATCGGCCAAATAAGTTTTAACATATCGGTCAAAAATCCAATATCGTGCATCCGTACCCGTTTTAACACGTAAGAAGGATTAAAGACAATTTTAATCATAACTTCTATTTTAGATTCAAGGATTTATTTTAAAACTCTTATGGATGGATGGATTTTAAAGGCCTCTATGGTTTAGCTCCACTCAGACCCATCTGAGACCCTTACACCCCCACTTGTCCTCTCGGATCAGCTGCAGCCTAAAACCACCTCTGTGGACCTTCTTGTGCACATTGAGGTGGTCAAATGTTCATTTTTGGAGCATTTGTCCTTATCGGGGCTCTTGGACCTGGAGCTTCAGGTGTTTGTGTCCAAACACGTCTCAGGGACACCTGCGGTGAATCTGGGACTCTTTCATTCTAACGTGTTCAAAATTCTTATCTTGTTCATTCTGTACAGCATGTTGGTCCCGTTTGGTTGTTTGAAGTGTTTAATCTGGATTATTTGGAGTTAAACGGTGATATAAAAGTAAAACTTTGAGTGATGAAAGTACAGAAGTCGTTCAGGACCGTGTGTTTGAGCGTGGCTCGTTTTGAACATCACGTCCTCCAAATGTCAGTTTGAGTGAAACTAAATGAAAAGAAACGTAGAAACGTTAAAATGTAAAGGCTCACCGGTGCGAGCGAGTCCTGGACCGTCAGCCTTGACCTTGGACGCATCGTGGGACGGATCCACTTTTACAATGAAGGGACTGTGTTGAACTTCCTGCGTGACCAGAACAAAATGAATAAAAACACTGAACCGATCATCTACGCTTTACATGAACACCTCCGCGTGTTTATTCCAGCACCTTGTCGGTGAACAGGACTTTAACCGTGAGTTTTCCGGCAGCCGGGGGGACGTATTTAACCGTGAACGTGTCGTTGGCGTTGGGGATGATGTCGAAGTCCACGTCGGCCTCTTGGTCGCTCACGGTGGTGGAGTCCCACTTAATCCCCACACTGATGTCACCTGAAGGCACAAACGGGTTTACGTCTCATTTCAGCTCTTTCAGACTCGGTCCAGGTGAGGGCGAAACAGTTTCTGCCTCGAGGGGGAGCCGGTTTGTCCCCGTTCGTCCTCGCTGTCCGTCAGAGCGTACCCGCAGGAGAAGAGGGAGCCGAGTCAGGTCGAAACAGGAAGGGCTCACCTGAGGGAGAACCCAGCACAACTTCCTCTTCCCGTCCAGGTGAGTTCACGCCAACAAAAAGGAGGTGATGCTGAAAGATTTGGCTGCTTCTTGAGGAGGAAACGATCTTTAAAGTTCATCCGCTCGTTAAGAAACAATTATTTTATTTGAATAAAGAGCTGAAGAAAAGCAAAGATTAAACTTTAAATGTTTTGAACTCAGATGAAACCTCCAAAAATATCTTCCAGTAGAAGTTTTGAGGAGCTTCGGTTCGTAAACGACATGGAAGGAAGAGGTTTTTAAAAAAAGTAGGAAAGATGAATTTCTCTCTGAGGAGCAACAACTCAAAGAAAAAGGTTCTGCACCAAGACCCGCCGAACAGCTGACAGAACCGCACGAACACAGAACGGTTCTGGGAAACAGTCGAGCTCCACATCCGATCGGACCGGCACACGGGGAGAATCTAGGTTCTGATCCGAAGAACCAGGATTTCAAAACTTTTTACTGGAGGACATGGACTCCGTGTGCTCCGGACCGAAGAGATAAAGGAGCAGACGACAGTTTTTCTGTTTCGCCCCCGGTCCAAAGGCTGAGGAAGAAGAGGGAACGGGTTCTGGACCGGCCTTGGTGAAGAACTAGTGCAGAATTTTTACAAATGTGTACAGTAGTCCCTCACTGTAACCCTGCGGGGGTTACGTTCAGACACCCCCCCATAGGTGAAAATCCACAAAGTAGGGCCGTTATATTTATTTTACTATTTATTTTTATTTTAAGGCCTTATAAACTTTATAAACCCTTCCCACACTCTTGCAATGTTCTAAACTCTCAACGCTCTCAGAGAGCAGAGACTGATGCTGCGGTTACGGAGCCACTCGGACCGGCCCTCAGGAGCACCGGGACATTTTTACAGACCTGGCCCGCTCAGCCATCGCCGAGGAGGACCAAAGGCTCGGTTCAGTTCGGGTCGCTCTCGATTATTTTAAACCAACAATCCATGTTATTTATACTTATACTCAGGTATAAGAAAGACCGCCCCCTCCTTTCTCTTTCTGAGGCTGCCTGTCAGAGCAGAGACACACAACAGCCCACACGTCTGCTCTGCTGTGACAGATGGCCTCAGAATGGGGGGGGGGGGGGGGGTCTGTCCCCATCACTGATCATGCATCATTTACAATCTACGTTAAAAACCTGCGAAAGTCAAACCACGAAGTATCGAGGGACTACTGTGTGTGTGTGTGTTACAGTCTCCTGTGTGTGTGTTACAGTCTCCTGTGTGTGTGTGTGTTACAGTCTCCTGTGTGTGTGTGTGTTACAGTCTCCTGTGTGTGTGTTACAGTCTCCTGTGTGTGTGTGTGTTACAGTCTCCT